CTCTAAAAACTCTTTTGTTCTGTGTGCGGTGTGAGAACTCGCATTGTCGTGATGGAGGATGATGCGGCGGTTGCAGTTCTCTTTACGGAGTTCAGAAACGACCTGTGGCAAACAAATGCTAGCATACCATTCTGCATTAACCGTTCTTTGTCCCTCAAGAGGAATAGTTGTAACATGGCCGGTTTTGGAGACAAAAGTGGCCACCATTTTTTTTTACAACACTCCGTGAACGAACAATTTTTGTTGGCTTTAACTCATCTTCGAACACCCAAACTCGTGACAGGTTTTTTGTTTCGGGTTCGTACGCGTATATCCAGAATTCGTCACCTGATACAATGTTGTATACAGCATTTGAGGATCCTGCGTGGAATCTTTCGAGAGTTCTGACGCACCAAGTAACGCGAGCCGCTTTTTGCTCTTCACAGATTGAATGCGGTATCCATCGGGAAAACAACTTTTTTACACCTAATTGTTCATGCAAGATTATTTATATTTGACTCATGCCAATGTCTAAAGTTGCCTAAATTTCGCGGTATGTCACATGTCGATCTTCCTCAATCAGCTTACGCACAGCATCAACGTTTTCTTGGGTGACTGCAGTTTTTGGACGACCTTGACGGGAATTATCACTGACGGGAATCAACACATCATCATCTTCAATCAGCTTATTTATATATATGTTAAAAAGCCTCGGAGAGGTAAGACCCCCCGCCTCACATCGCACTCAAGTTTATACGGGTCAGACAATGCATTGGACCACCTAACAAAATTTCTTTGATTATCATACCACATAGATAACGTAGACACTAATGAAGCAGGAACTCCCGCCTCCCGAAGCTTTCCCCACAGGACATTGTAGGAAACCAGGTCAAAGGCTTTTGAAAGGTCCAGGAAACAAGCATATACGGGTGTTTTCCTGTCAGTGTAATATTTGACAGTGTGCTTCAGTGCAAAAATAGCACTCTCAGTGGATAGTCCCGCGCGAAAACCAAACTGTGAATTATGTAATTTTATGTATTCACTGAGGCGCGAGTCAAGCACACTGTCAAATACTTTTGCTATCACAGTCGTCAGTAAAATGGGTCTGTAATTACACTTATCTGCTATGTCTCCCGTCCTGTTTTTAACAATAGGTACGACTATAGTATACAGAAGCTCTTGTGGTAAGTAAGAATGTCTTAAACATAGATTAAAGAAAATAGTCAACACCTAAAATGATTCCAGCTTTTTGAAGGTGCTCGATGCTGAGTCCGTCATGTCCAGGAGATTTACCTTTCTTCATACTTTTAATAACAGATTTTAGTTCCTTACATGGTATAGTCTGCTTTTGCAAATACCAGCTGAAGTGTCCACTGAAGACTTGGCCGTATAACTGAATTCTTGATCTATATTTTATATATCCGGTAGAAAGATCTTAGCTCTAAATTGAAAATAGCGAGTAATTTTTTTCTGAATCCGTTCAATACGCGTAGAATAAATATTATAAGATGGATTCCATATTTGAGATGCATATTCTAGATCTAGATGGCTTCGTACGAAAGCACAGTAAAGAATTTTTAAGGTTTTAATCGCATTGTAGTCAGAAGACATTCTTAAAATAAAGTCTAGCGCTTTAGAGGCTTTGTTTATAATATTATCAATATATTCATTAAACAGTAATTTGGAGTCAAAAAGTACTACTAAATCGCGAATAGTGGTGACTCTAGTTATATCTGTATGTTTATAGTGTAGCGGAAAATTAAAGGTTTGGTCTTCCGCGTGTATGTGCAAATATAGCATTTAGAAATATTTAAATCTAATTTGTTGTATAGACAGTAATTTTCAAATCTATTCAAGTCTTCTTGCAAATAATATGCGCTTTCGAGGGACGTTATAGGACTTAATATTTTCGTACCATCGACGTATAGTACGTTTTTGAGTACTTGAAACATGAGAAGATGTCATTAACAAAGATATTGATGAATATGGTAGGTAATGTGATATGAATTTCGATAGATTTTAATTAATTTATTTAATTCAAAATTGTTGTTTTTATTTTTTGTAAAATATCAGTGCCGTAGGGCTCTTCTTCTACTCCGTTCACATGTTACACCATATTTTTTTCCAGACGGTAAAAAAGGTCATGCAGTATATTTCTAGTCATGGGTGTTATAAGAGGCGACTACGGGAAATGCCAGAAAGAACTTAAGGTCCTTAGCCACCTGCATCACATACCAGGTTGTCACTATTTAGTGAGGGGCTGTATTTCCCTATAAATTACTTTGAAATGTAAAATTAAGGGCTAGACCATCAACAACCCCCACCCGCCCGAGATGTCACCACCAAAAAAAGAAAAGATTTATTTTTTTCTTTCTCAACCCCAACCCCTTTTTTTTTTATTTCTTTTTTCCAATTTAATTCCGCCCTATATTATATTAATTTGTATATTGAAAATAAAATAGAGTGTTGGGAGAAACAAGCAATAATAAAGGGTAAAAAAAACAAAACAAACCCCCCCCCCACCCCTATCTCCGGAGGACGCTCCCTCCCAAAAACAAACCAACAACCCCCCCCCCATGGTACCAGTGCTTTAAAGACTTTGACAGAGATCTGTCTGTCAGAAAGAGCCAACTGTCAAAGCTGAAGACCGAATGTGGCAGCATCGTTTCCGAGACACCTGAGATTCTGAGTGAGATTGAGAGGTTCCATAGGCAGCTGTATTCGTCATCGTTGAAACCACGCGCAAGTGCGAGTAACGACGCAAGAGCAAGTCTTACCCTACACTATTCCGATGATGCTTGGTCACTTCTACAACACGCTCTTATACAAGGTAGTACCATGGTGCAGCTACATTATGGGTGCAGCACGATAGACGTGAAATAGCAGCATTGTCTTAAATTTTCTATGGGGAATGTAGAGAACCGGAGACCCTTCTTATTCATATGGAAGCATTTATCTTAGTCCTTCAGTGACCACGAATCTTCATTTTAATTCTTAATTGAGGATAGACCTAGGTGTCTGGGCGACATAATTTACTGTGTCAGCATACAGCACACACAATGTCGCTGATGCAGTGGTTCCGTGAAGAACACTGAACTCAGAGAACATTCAATTGTAATTCCATTCTCATTGATTTTCTTGCTATATTATCATTTTGCAGAGCCCTAAGTCTGGCTCAGATAGCTGAAATATCAACGAAATAGATAGTCCAAACTCAAAAAAAGCTATGTTACCGTCACAGACCATCAAAAACCTACTGCTGTACATAGGCCTTATATTACATTATCCCTTATATTACCTAAGTGGAGATATTTGCCATATTTGCCAGGCTTGGCACGCGTATCGGCAACCACAGTATATAGATATATACTGCACAGTATATAGATATATACTGCACAGTATATATCTATATACTGATATATACTGCACAGTATATATGATATATACTGCACAGTATATAGATATATACTGCACAGTATATATCTATATACTCGATATATACTGCACATATATACTATATACTTGTAGTATATAGATATATACTGCACAGTATATAACTATATACTGTGCAGTATATAGATATATACTGCACAGTATATATAGTTATTATTAGGTAGACGCTACCACCAATCTCCTTTTTTCAATCTGTTGCCACATGTGTCGTATATGGACCCCTGACCATGGACCACAGGATATGAATATTTTATTACTACACCACCACTACATGGTCAAAAAAAGTTTCAATTCTATGGAAAATTCTTACTTATTAATATTAAAACAAAAGATAGGTAAGTGATGATTAATATCAAAACAAAAGATAGGTAAATAATAATTACCAACCTTTTGTTTTAATAATAAAAATAGTGTTTTCATAAATATAAAAAGGAATGTCGACCCTTAATAGTGCAAGGTGACTTTACAGAAGGCATCGTAATCGTGTTAAAGCCCTACGTGGCCGCGTATTTGCGTAGTTCTAAAGAATTATTACAATATTTATCTTAACGTTTTTTTTTTTCAAGGTACGTTTGAATGAACTATATATTTAACTATATACTCATTAAAAGCCAAATTAAATTTTAAAAGTTACAGCCTACGTTTCACTGCTGGGCACAGGCCTCCCCTCATTTCTTCTCTTTTTCACATATCTTCGAAATATTTTTTTTCTTATTACTCAGACATGCAGATTTTCTCACGATGTATTCCTTCACCGCCGAGCACGTGGTAAAAGCACTTAAAATTGCAATTAAAAATTTCATTGTTGCCAGCGGGGATCGAACCCGGGTCACTCGCATACTGTGAAGTTTACAGCGAGCGCCTAGCCCCTGAGCTACCATGGCTCCACTGAAGAAGCCATATCAGTCCAATGGAAAATCTTATATTGAAAAATATAACTATTAACAGAACTACTCGTATCTAACCGTTAACATTTTCGGGTTGACGTCCGATTACAGTCTTATAGCATTTTTGGAACATACAAAATGGAATTAGAGAATAATATGCTTAAAGAATAATCCAATTTATAAAATTTAATAAATATTAACTTAATAAGTGAATTGAAGACGACTTTGCTTGTTTATATTTTGTTGTCACACTAGAAGGTAACGTTGCGTTGACGCTTTAAAATTGTGTTCGACTGCTGGAATTTAATGAAATTACAACACAGAACTCAGTGGCCTTTACATTATACGAATCGGTTTAACTGTGGATATGGTTGCCTGTTCGTCCTTACAACTAATAAAGCAAGTAAACTTGTGGGTCTTCAATTAGTTTTTATTCACATTTACCGCGCCCGCAGAGACTTGGCGTAAATGTAACTCTATACGAAATTGTATTCTAAATTTTAAACTAAATACCTCGATTAAATTATTTGTGTGACTCATAGTGCAATTGTGTTATTTTTGATTTGTGTTAATTCACATTTGTGTTAATAACGAATGTTTTCAATAAGTGGATGAAAATTCATTTTGATGTTGGACACTATTGATCAATTTAAATTATATCTGATAAGGAAATCGTCGAAGATGTTTAATTTGTACCAACACCTTAAAGCCACGAATGAGGGGAAGGATCAGAAAGAACAGGAGACGACGGGCCATGACAGATTTTATCAGGAGCGTTCGAGGTCTAGTTACAGGAAGAAGCGACGCCCCGCCTATCAAAGAGCGCAGTCTGTAGCAGAATTTAACCCTGAGTCGATTGCAGCGGCGAATAAAAGAAATGCATTTAAGATACGATCTGCGTCTACTGATCGCGATGAAAGTGAAGGTTTGGTAGTCTTTAGTTAGATATTCATCTCCATGTTTGTTAACACCCGTAAATATCTTTAAAACTGCTTTAAAAAATTAAACTATACTGAATGGTTTGGTATCTATTGACTGCCTGGGGCTGTATCAGCCCAACATCCAGTTCATCATCAGCACCAACTTTGTGATGAGTCCTGTTGTACGTAGGACCTCCCTCTCTTGTTGTTAACATTTATCGTAAAATATGAGTCTCGTAATGTTAAAATTTAAATATAAGTACTTACTTATTTTTATATTTTTCTTAACATCGTAAAATCTACCTCACGAATGAGACAAACTTTTGGAAACAAATAAATAAAGAATGTTAAAATAAAATGAAGAACTAAAATAAACTTACAGATACATATTCACGTTAAATGAGTAATATTTTACAGGTAAGTTACAGTTACTGCCTATTAAAGTTCACTGCTGAACATAGGCCTCTTCCATAGATTGCCTCATAGGGTGGATATTTGCCATAGTTGTCACGCTTGGCAACCGGGTTGGCAAACGCACTTTTTCATTTTATGTCGTTATTAGAGAGACACCGCTGCCCGTCTCTTGTTTCCCTCTGCTACCTCTAACGATACCCGCGGGATGATACGGGGTGTGGATATTCTTACACCGCCACTGTCAGGTAAGCTCTTCACTTACGGGTGCTAATTGTAAATAAGCGAATCGGATATCCCAATTTTTTTCACAGTATTAGGCCGATAAACAAGCTGTGTGCTTGGTCTGTGTGACCAACTGATGGTAAGTGGATTCTGTGGCCCATATCCATCTTCTTGTACATTAATTCTTTATTAAGAATCGAAAAGTAGGTGCGTTATTACCTCTGAGGACTAAGATGGAATGCCTAGTATCCAGTAAAAGGAGTCTCCGGTTCTCTACATTCACCATATGAAACAGAATCATTAATCTGCTATTTAACGCTGGTATTCTGCAAGAGCATGGTCCTTCTCCGTGCGTTATTTATATATCGGGATAAATGGTGTACTACATGAATCGAAGGGACACAAAGGTTCAAGCATTGACAAGTACCGGTGCATTGGCACGTTTGGCAGGGGTCAATGTATCTGTTTATACAAATAAATTGATCTGCCAAACTACACATAGGGTTTCTATTATCTTTTGAACGTTATAATTGGTAATATTTGTCTGGGAGAGTTTTCGCGAAACAGTGATTATAAACTGGATTAGAGTTGGAGTTATAGCTATTTAGTTTTTTTACTAAGTATACGACTTTAATGTTCCATAAGTTATCAAAAGAAGAGAATACAGAACGCACCCCACTTGTGGCGCAGAAGATAGACTCGCTGGCCAAGCTGCTGTTCAACAAATCTCTCATTGGGAGCGGATCTAACAAGTCCTCGCCATCCGAACCGTGTTCATCGCCCAGGTAACTTTAATTTATTTTTAATTTTGCTTACATTAAGAAACCTTTTTTAGTCAAACCAGCTGCAGCTATAGGTATTATGGTGGTAGCACTACGGGCCGCCTCGACCGGGAAGGACCACGCTCTCACAGAATACCAGCGTAAAGTAGCAGCTTAATACTGTTGTGTTTCGTGTGATGAATGTAAAGAACCGAATATATACCAATATGAGTATATTACTGGAAATGAGGCACTATTTCTTAGTCCTCAAAGGTGACAACGCATCTGCTTTTGATTCTTAACTGGAGATAAATGTGGGTGTCTAAGCGCCACAGCATCCAGTTAACATCAGTGGACTGTGTGCTCGTATATAACCCTTATTCTATAAAAAAATATACCTTGAAATGGTTTAGATTCCAAACAGTAAATAATCAATACATTTTAGTTTGGTTTTAAATTTAAATCGTGGTTTTAAAACCATAGCTTTTGCTTCTATTTAAGAACGTAGACACGGCAACGGACATAGTTATACATGTAGGTGTATTATCTACGAGAGCGCTAGCATCCAATTTGTCTGTGAATAACTGGCTTAGTGTAGATTCATAGATACCTAATACAATTATAATTGGACAGAGGCTGGGGTACCTATATTGAATATTTGAAAAGTCCAAATTCGTGTTCGTAGCAGATAGATATTGCTTCTAGAACGTAAATAGGAAATATCAACATGTATACTTGTGGCGGCGGTCGTAATAAACGAAACGAACTAAAGCCTAAATCACGCTATTAAAGTTTCCAAAGTCCTCCGGTATACATATAATTAGTATAGCATTCCGGGCTGAATACTTTGCCCGGTGGGAGATATTGTTGCAGTTTCCGAGGGATGCTTCTTTATTGAATATATGACAGGTTTGTGTTACCATCTGTCCACGTTTTGATTTTTTTCTACTATTTCATTTTCGATTTCATATTCTTCATATTCCTAAAGCCTGGTGGATTAATAGGCTTCTTACTCACTGGTGGGTAAAAGCCTTTCCTCATCACTGATCGTAGACAGAGAATGCATCAAAGTGGTATTGCTAAATATTGAAAATTGCGGCACGCTCAGCAAAACAAAAAATCCCATCGTTCTTTCTCATTTCTTTACACGATATCGGCGTAAGTTGCTCTTTCTCTTGTGTTATTGCGACAAAAGATATCACTTTTCTTAAGCATTCTCTGGCAACGTTCCTGATGGCGATATGATGCAGATAATAGTAGATAGATAGTCTGTGGCTCTAGTGCGAATAAGAAGACTTCGTATGTCCTTAAAATATTCTTATTTCCCACAGATATGGTAAGTTTTCATCAACAGAGATTTTAATGTATTGTAAAGAAAAATTGGCCTCTGTTACTAAAACGTAAGGATTGTATACTCTTTGTACGTTACCATGGAGGACTTTTATCTTTTTTATATAGATAAAAAGGCAAATGAGCATACGGCTGATGGTAAGTGATCGTCGTCGATGAACATTTACAACACCAGAAAAATTTCAGGTGTGTTGCTGGCCTTTTAGAAAAGAATCGGTTCCTTTCTTGAAGATCCGTAAGTCATATCTGTCCGCAAAAATCGCTGGCTACAATAAATTCAAAAATGTGAAAAAAATGTAACATATAGTAAGGAGCTTCATATAAATAAAATTATAGCACAATATAAATAAAATTAAATTTGTAATATCGAATGTACTGGCTTCTTTTAACCTTAGGGTATTTTTGCATGATATTGTTACGATCTTGAGGTTCGTGACAATAAAAATTGCCGATAAAATTACCTAAATTAACACTTTAATTTACTTTACACAAATTAAAGTTAAAAACACTAATAATTAAACACACTAATTCAATTTATCCAGTGTGTTCCAGGTGAGCGTCGCCATATCTCGCCTCCAATGCCTCAAGGAGTTGCTCATAATTCACTTCCTCACCGAGAGCTTCCAGAACTGTTAAGGCCTGGTCACGCAGGCCTAGTGTGAGAGCAGTCATGGCCTGACTTTTATTCCAGCCGTTCGCCTTCATAACAGCCTCGAACTGGAATTTGTAGGCTGAACAGGAAGAAGTCCCGTCGAACGGTGGCACTTTGAACCCACGTAGCGAAGGTGTAGTAGCTACTACGGGAGCTGTAGTTCCATCACCCAGTTTGAGTTCGTCCAGTGATTTCTTCATGTCAGACATTACGTTGTCAACCCTATTGTTCACTTGGTCGATTCGGGTTTCAGCTTCCGACAGGCGGTTGTCATGTTGAGCAACCTTATCCTTCACCTCCCTTATCTCTTTCCCGAAGGTAGCGTGAATGTCCTTCATGAGGAGCATCTGCTCTTCCTTATCGCGCTTGAGCTGCTCTTCCAACCGACGGGCCTGTTCCTCCTGTCGGCGAGCCTGTTCATCCTGTCGGCGAGCCTGTTCATCCTGTCGGCGAGCCTGTTCCTCCTGCTGCTCTTTCAACCAACGGGCCTGTTCATCCTGTCGGCGAGCCTGTTCCTCCTGCTGCTCTTTCAACCCACGGGCCTGCTCCTCCTGTCGGCGAGCCTGTTCCTGCAGCATCACCATCAGAGCACCTAAGACAGGTGCTGCAGATGTAGGAGCTACTGACGGGCCTGCAGCCGGCGGCTGGTCCTCCGATGTCTGCGGCGTTGCACCACCAAATCTTCTTTGGTCCATCTCCTGCTGGCGTTGACTTCGGGTACGGACACCCTCCGTTTCCTCCTTAGGTAAAATCGGCATGATTTTATCCCACTTCTGACACCAATTGTTACGAGCTTGAGGTTCGTGACAATAAAAATTGCCGATAAAATTACCTAAATTAACACTTTAATTTATTTTACACAAATTAAAGTTAAAAACACTAATAATTAAACACACTAATTCACTTTATTCCGCTCCGAAGCTTCGCTTTTCTCGCCAAATCAACACTGCCTCGATCGCATCTTGCAGCGCCTATTTATATAAATTAGCAAAGAAGCATCCGAAATATTCAAGTAAATGCGCGCAAAGGGACGAGTGTGCGAGTGTAGATTTTCTAGAAACTTAGTTCTTCGGATGGCGCTGTCGGTTGAGAGATTTGTGATGTCATTTTCTGCAAAGCTCCCCTCGCTCTCGTTCCTGACACAAAAAAATAAATTTTTCAAATTTCAATTTCAAAATCTTTATTTCACAAACAATGTTTGTAACTGTAAACAGAGTTGGGACCATCCTATTAAGTAATAATAATACTTGTGCCAGGTGTTAGATGGCGCTAGTTGATTTATTCACGCAACAATATTAAATATGTAATGGTTTGGTATTAATATAGATAATTTTCTAAATAACTGAATCGATTATGATGAAACTTCACTGACAGATAGAGAACTGGAATCATCTAGGCCAGTGATGGCCTACCAATGGCACGCGTGCCATCAATGGCACGTGACACAATATTTTACGCATGCGATCGGTGGGATCACAAAGTTCACTATGAAGTAGTGAACTATGTGATGTGTACTATATTACAAACGAACGCGAATGATCCTAGTTACATCGTGGACTACCATTGCTAATGATACATAGTTCGTTTCATCATCATTTCCTTCACAAGCCCACGGAAAATGCATAGATCTAGGCTATATTTTGTATCCAAAAACATGCAGGATTTTTTTTTGTGAAATCGAAGAACTGATACTTAAATTGAACTTTTTGTCTAAACACATCTCTTGTAGATCAGCAAGCGTTTTAAGCAGACGCATTTGCGGGTAACAGCTAATAATAATTTTAAAACATAAAATATTACATTTATAATACAATTTATTATTGTCTACAGAGTTAAAGAAACATCGATCGAGAGTACAGTTGCTTTGGCAATTTGTACAAAGTATCTTTCACAGACTTCAAGGTAATTAAAATTTACGCATTCTAATACACTAGAGAAAATTCTTAATGTTTAGAAGAAGAAGTAATGTTACTCATTATTATTAGTCCGATACAGTCCATTGTCAACCAACCAAACATGGATTCGCCTATTGCAAATGTATACAAAGGATTTGCCTTCAAGTTTTCCAATAAGCCAACAGTTCATCAATTTAAGTACCGGTCAAACCCAAGTAGTCGCCGGTCTGGGCTGTCGAAATTGCGAACGTCTAAAAACCAAACGATAATAAAAATTAACCAAATCAATTAAGCTCAGGACCGTGCTTTGTAGCATTCCCTGGGGGAGGCCTGTTCAGCAGTGGACTTGTGAAGGGCTGTAGTGATGATGATGATGATAAGCCAAATCAAGAAAATACCTAAAGAAAATTTTACAGTATATTTTTGTGCAACAACGCTTAAATAAATAATTTGTTGTGTTATCGTGTTGAAAGTTAAAGTTCCCAAAAATGAGTTTGATTACAACTCTGTTTCAGATACGACCTCAAGTCACAACTGGGTTCAATCGGATCGCGGCCTTGTAAGCAATGGTTTGCGATTCGCGATAATTCTATTAAGACTGATAGATTATTGACTCTGGTAAGTTATAGCTAATTACATTTATCCCAAAATAAGCTTATGGATTGGATTTTCGGATCAAACGTACACATTTATTTATCAATCAGGAAACACATAAACATTTTTTTGTAAATAAGGTTAGAATAGTAAATGAATATAAGTATTATATGGCGAGGAGTATGTGGTTATACTGTCACCAGACCACAATGACAAAGCGAACGTATAACAACCGAAGTCTAAATCGCACTATTGAAATTTTCGAACAACTCTGCTACTATTCATAAAAAGTACGAGTGACAAACGATCACACAGTCCATTCATAGACATACATCTGTCACTGATTAAGAATTAAATTGGAGAGTCGTTGTCACCCCTGAAAACTAAGATGGAATGCCTCATTATCAGCAAACAAAGATGGTCTCTGCTGTGTAGTCTAGCGATTCGTTTCCGAGAATATCATAATTGATTATAATTATTTTTCTGTATTAGGCACTCAAGATACAATACCTACCGTATTGCAGTGTATTATAAGGTTGTGTTCATATTATATCGGATGAAAGCAGACACAATTTACGAATTATTATTGATGATATCTAACAAATGTAAGACTGGATTGTTTTTATACATAACATGATTTTAGCAAGTGCACGAGTTTTGCGAACACTGTACGAAATGCAGTATCTAGCATTATTCTACTGTTATTCTTAACTCTGTTTTTACAGGGAGCGTTTGATGCTCTGGGGAGCGAACACCATAGCGGCAAGAGAGATCCCTTTTCATTACGTTCTTATCAACTCATTTTCTTCTCCGTTTGTATGTTCAATACAATTTTATAATCGAATTTGAACTTAATTACCAACTAGCTAGTTACGTAAAACTTCAAATATAGTGCAAAACTTAAAGGCAGCTCAATGTAAACTCACTTTATGTCTATATGTTTGTGTGTTTGTTCGGTAGAAATTTTGCAGTCGAATTACTTTTAATGTAGAACTGCAAACATAGTAAAAATGGTCGCCATTTTGAATTTTAGTTACCTATTACGACTGCCGCCAAAAGTACTTAATGATTTTATATTTTTGCAAAAGCGGATTTACACTTCGACAAGCAGTCGGCAAGTGCAGTAGCGAGTTTAGTTACAGGGCAGTTGACACTAGCATTCAAATGTCTTCGTGGCGAGTTAAGTTAAAAATGCACAATTATATATTTTGAGAGTCGAATGCTAAAACGTTGCGTCTTATCAACTTATGCACTGAACTAAAGTCAATTATATATTTTGAGAGTCGAATGCTAAAACGTTGCGTCTTATCAACTTATGCACTGAACTAAAGTCGCTCGTTCACGTGAGCGGCGCATTAGACCGATTTACACTTCGACAAGTACAGTAACGAGTTAACTTGCGAACTTGGCGAGTTAAGTTTGAACCTCATTTGAACGGAAATAAGCGAGTTAAGTAGCAAGTTAACGATTAAGTTGAACGGGATAGCCGGCCGAGCTAGTTTTCGGCGAGTTAAGTGCGAAGTGCTGCCCTCCTGCGCGTCTCCCGCCATTAAATAAGGGTGGCGCCACTATAACCACGGGGTAAATTTTAAAAAACGCAACGAAAAATATTAGTGGAATAGACGACTTTTTCGAGGTTATATTTACTAAATAAAATTATTTTAGATTTTAGAGCTACTGAGCAGTTTAGCACCACACTTAAACCGTCGTCAACTGCTAAGTTCATTTCATCCCAGTAGCTACTCCAGCGCTGTTGTGGAAAGTTTTTGATAGTTTTTGAACTGTTATTTACTGCTTACGGATGGCCACTTTTTCAACTGTTCTACTATGGGAGTTAGTACTCCTTACTTCTACACTCCATAGTTTGCGCGCCAAAACGTACAATTGTACTTTTATAATGAAACTCGACACAAAGTTTGTACGATACTGTTTATTGATTATTTATACGTTTTATATTGAGTTTTAATAATGAAATGGATGGAAGATATCACGTATAAATTCGTACAGGAGTATTTAGAACACGAATGTTTATATAATAGTAGAAATTCAAATTGTAAAATTAAACCTGCTCGAGATGATGCACTCATGAAAATTCTTAAAAACTTCTTTAATAACAACCATTTATACTTCTCTGGTTGGATCATTTAATTTTTGACTTAATCCTCGAACTATCTGAAACGGAGAAAAGTTCTGTAGTATTGAAACGTCCAACGAACTCTATGAACTAATGCCCTTAACTAAACTCGCCACGAAGACGTTGTTTGAACGCTACTGCCCACTTAACAGTTTACTGTCAACTGCCCTGTAACTAAACGCGCTACTGTACCTACTTGTCGAAGTGTAAATCGGTCTTAAAACGAGATTTTCTACTATATAACTCGCCAGGTTCGCAGTACTGTACTTGTCGAAGTGTAAATTGGTCTTAAGGTGGCACAAGTCGCGGGCTCGAACTCATTGGTGGGCGCGGCCAAAAAGCACGTTGTCTCACCTGGCATCGTGCCTGACAGAGATAGTATCAGTGAAGAGCAGTTAGAACGCACGTCTTGTTCGTACGGCGTTCCGAACCGTTAGAACAAAAAAGAAGTTACACGAACACGATGCACACATACATACCACCCTATTCTGTGCCGCTCGACGCTTGCTGAGAAATCAGCAGTACCTACCTACAAACTAAATGTATACTTATTTTTACTTACTTATTTTTATTTATTTATTATTTTAATAAATAAATAAAAATAAGTATTAATAATTTCTAGACACATCTCAACAGATATTTCCTTTATAAATTGCTATCAATATTGAAGCATTCTTTTATATTTAGCATCCATTTAACACAAAGCTGATAGGAATACTTTTTAAACAACATAATATAATCAATAAACGATAATCGCGTATAGTGAATTTCGAGGTAAATTATTATATGTAAACGTTTTTGAATCGTCGTAATGAAACATATTTCCTAAAGAAAATATTTTCACAATTAATTTGATGTAAAATAACATAAAAATAACGTATAAAAACATAAAAATTATCAAATTTTTGATCGAGTTCCTAACCAGTACACAAACAAAAATGGCGAAATATCATTTTAAGATTTTTTCTATATAGTTACTTGTTACAGAGTACACAGATAAAATTCACTCTCACAGATGACAAATTTCAAACACCACAATCTCTAATTTTTTTACTCTGCTATCTTCAGCGCTGTACACGAACGGAACGATGTCGTTGAGAGCCGTGGTAGCTCACATGGTTAGCGCTCGTTATAGGTATCACAGTACGGGAGCAACCCGGGTTCGATCCCCACTGGCACCAATGAAATTGTTGCGTGCTGATTTAGCTATCAGTTGGAAAGTCTGTTTTTCTGGGCCGTTTTGTTTTGTTACACTGACATCTCGCAAATCACCTAGGGACCTAGGAGGTTGTCGGTTGCTTATTTTTTATTTTTCTTTAAAATTTTCGTCGGTAAAATAACATATTTATAAAAGTAAAAAAAAGTAAAGTTACAGCCTATATACGTCCCACTGCTGGGCACAGGCCTCCTCTAATTTCTAAGAGGGTTTTAAGGCAAGGAAATGTCCGCCACGCTGCCTCAATGCGTGTTGACGAACTTCACATTTCTTCGAAATATACATTTTTTAATTTCTCAGACATGCAGACCCGAGTTCGATCCCCGCCGGTACCAATGAAATTGTTAATTGCAATTGTGCTGATTTACCACGTGCTCGGCGGTGAAGGAAAACATATTGAGGAAACCTGCACGTCTGAGAATATAATTATAATCGAATGTAAATCAAATTGACATAGGTAAGTACAGATAAAATTAGCGGAACATTAATAAAATTTTGAGATCGTTTTTTTTTTCAAAATTTTATTTATATATTCCTCTATTTTTGTCTGTGCTTATATCAATTTGATTTAATCCAAAGTTCAAGCAGGGGTCAATGTAGCGTAGTAATTTAGAGCGCAGGTATAGCTATAGTCATACGAACGTCACAGGCCGCAGCTGAGGCTGACTGAGTCGAATAAAACTAGAATAAGCGCGCGTCACCGCGCATGCATGTGTGTGTAAGTGTCGTCCTCCCGCACCGCACCGGGGGGAAATATTATTCAGTGAGATGCACGATAATTCATATAAACACGCGCGCGTAAAAAAAATACGAAAAGGCCTTTGGAAGGAGGGGTTTTACGAAAAAACCACTGCATGAATCAATTACCAATAAAATTTATTGAATTCTTCGATAATTGAGCTGTGACGGTACCGACTTTGTTTTGGAAATTTTACACTGCTTTTATTACTAATTTACGCCCAAAGTTGTGTTAAAATTGGCAATAAAAACGAATCTTTGGTAGCTCGTAACTTTTTACTGACTTTTTATTTTACTATTCTGTTTCGGTACAGACAAAATTAATCATGAGACAAAACGATATCATGTTTAACTTTGGATGTACACTGTCAAACAGCGGAGTAAAACCCCTCCGAAATTTCTATGGAAATAATGTCGACTAGAGTCACCTTAATGGCGAAAATTAAAAGTTGGTAAGAGACATGTTACCTAAAGACATAATTTTTGTGATAGGTGCCTTTAACGATCGAATGTCCCCTCGAAGACGGCGCGTGTTCCCGCGAGTTGGTCGTTGAGCTGTTCCGTGCGCTCCATCATCCCTACATCTACCCGGTTCTAGAGCTGCAGCTGTGCAGTGGACACGCGCTCACGATACTGCCCTTCAACGCCAAGGGCAGCTTGAAGGACGTCATTTATAAGGCAAGGCGAAGACATTTCTTTTTTTTAAACATTTTAATAAGGGTTAGTAATTTTACGCTCACCAGATGTCGCTAATGTTGGGACTAAGGTGAACTGATTTGTTACCCAGATGGTCACATAGAGTCATCGTCATTGAAAAGTTCAGTTTCTAGTTTATGTATATTGTTTAAAAACAAAACAATGCATCAGTGCTGTATTATTATTATTATTTCATATCTTTCTTTTTTTCACATTTAATTTTTCCACTTTTCGGAAAACAGGTAGTTTGGTTCATCCAAACTACGTATTCAAAATATTTCTAATCTTTTAGAAGAAAACATAAATCTCTACACTTTTCTAACAAATTGTTTACGCTAGATGTAAAATACCAATACTTCAGTTTATATTAAATCTTTGCCAATAACAATCACCTGGTCTTTTACACTATAATAAGATGTCTGGGTCTGTGATCGTAATCTTCTAAATCTTACCTACAACGCGAGAGGTCGATGTTCAATAGGACCGGCAAAAAGCCATCACGCGGTGTTCCGGTCACACATCCAAGTACTGACCGCGCCCAACGTTGCTTAACTTCAGTGATTGGACGAGAACCGGCGTGTTCAACGTGGTATGGACGTTGTCGTCTAAATCTCTTCACTGAAGCACCTTTTATTTAATTCCTTCATTACAGTATATCAAAAGTTCATCGTTGAATATGGACCTCACATTAACTGCCTAATAAAGCTGTCATTCGCGAAGCTTTCTTCCGCATCATTTGTCGGCTCTTAAATGCCGACACTACATTTTTATCATTGATTGCCTCCAAGAGGCGATGTTTGCTTCTCTTTATTTAAATTAATTGAACTATATTTTTAACTCCTATTTAGAGCACATGGCACGAGGAATATCATAAGAAATATAATCAGAGTGGTACCGGTCTCCCTGCCTGGCAAGTGGCCACTTTCGGCCGCCAGATATTGGAGGGATTGTTGTTCCTCAAAGAAAAAGGATTTCCTCCCTTCCGTCACCTGCACTCCGGAAATGTCGTCGTACAGAATGGTGTAGCTCGGTAAACATTTTTTTTTCTAATCTTAACTCTTGATTTTACTTAATTATTTGATTCAGGGTCCCTAAGATTTTGGAAACCAATTTCAGAAATAATATTTTAACGAGTCTATTTTACCCAAAATCATAATGAAGGTTAAATGCCATTAACTAAATGAATACGTAATAAATTATACATCACATTTTAAATATGAATAACTGGGCGACAGAATTTTACTCACTGCTAGAAAAAAAATTTCTAAGGGATGACACTTATCCAGATATAATAAGAAAGTAAAACATTATCTGAAGTCAAAATTTCATCCAAATCGTTAGTCGTTTCCGAGAGTATTATTTGATTATAATTATTATATAAGAGAAGAGAAGAGTGTGGTTAGCAAGATGATGCGGTGACCAGGATTAAGAAAGGAATGCTTCGGTGGTTTGGTCATGTAGAAAGAATGAATGCGGAAAGACTGACAAAGCAAATATATGTTGCAGAAGTGAATGGAAGAGTCGGAAAGGGACGTCCTAGGCGGAAGTTTGTCGACCAAATTGGCGACATACTAAAAATGGGCCTAATTAAGAGTACCCTTAACCGACGAGCATGTATGCGTAGGTATATGGATGTGGAAGAGGCGAGAGAGGTATGTCAGGATCGTGCTAAATGGATGTCTGTAGTCTCTGCCTACCCCTCTGGGTGACAGGCGTGAGTGTTTATGTTATGTTTATTATATAAGATTGTGTTCATAATAAATCGGATGAAAGCAGATACAATTTACGAATTATTATTAATGATGTTTAACAGACGTAAGACTGGATTGTTTTTATGCATAACAAGATTTTCACTATACTGTACCGGCATAAGAGAATGATCCTCCTTCCTCTTCCTCCTACTCCATTGGCTGTCGTAAAGATCAACTGAGTGAACTGAAATACTTAGTCTAAAATCTAAATGCCCTACTGCTTCCCATAAGCTTGGGAATAAGAGGTGAATTGTACTCTGCGCGAAGGAGTCCGCCGCGCTACCAAATTGCGTGATTATAGGCTCACTTGCCCTCGAAATATTTTAGTTTCCCAGGTATGCAAACTTCCTTACGAAGATTTCCTTCGCAGTCATTTTGTATGTTACCAAGTGTATGAGTTTTGCACGAATTCGAGCAAATCAGCACTCTTCTAATCAGTGGCGTAGCTACTTAGGGGCTAGGCAGGGCAGTGTCCCGGGCTCTCAAGCTCAGGGGGCCCTCGAAACCTTACCAGAAAATCTCGAACGAACTGAACTTTCTAAAATTTCTCCCATTTTCAAAATAAATATGACATGTTGCAAACCGACTTTAATCATGGCAACTCAGTTGAGCGAAATTCGAAAGTTATACCTAGGGAATTATCCCTAAATTCTTTCTGTGGGCTGGTAGTGTTGTCAATTTTACGGATAGGGATATGTGCGTTTTATTATTCATCGATGTACGTTTTATTGTGATTTCGAGTCAAGATTTCCTTCGAGAACGGTTAAAAAATTAATTCAATATCAGGAGTAAGTAAGCTAATGTCAATAAACTTTTTAGTACTGGTAAATATATTGGTTCAATTTTATTCGATTTAAGTACCACTCATATTGATGTCCGTTACGTCAATAAATCATGTCAAATCTATAGATTTCGGCTAATCATTGTATAATGCAAAATGTCGTAAAAAATGCAGGTCCGCGCGCGAGGAGATCGTTCTTAGTCTACCCGGTTTAATGTAGTAACACTAGCGGCGATAAAATGTTCGCCGGGGATTCCCCAACGACGTCTTGTAGCGTATCATTACATTTCTCCTTCCTTTTACTTTTGACGTCGTCCCATCTACTAAAACAAATTAGGGCATCACCGTTTTTCGCCATCACAATGGATACGACACAGGACATATCGAAGGTGTGAGGTATGCAGTAATAACCAGATCGTAAAATGGACAGCCAAGTAATATAGAAGTAAAAGAAGTGTTTCTAGGTTTTTATGTAGCCATCAAATGTAGCGCAGCAGATTTAGTCAAACAAGTGACTACATTATTTATCGACAAAAATATTGATTAAAAAAACGTGTGGTGCAAGATTATTATGGAGCCAGTGTGATGAGTGGTGTGTGTAATGGTGTACAAAAACATATTAAGGATATCCAGCGTAACGCGGAGTACATACATTGTGCCATTCAAATTTAATTTAATACAAATTTGGTGATAATTGATACCGTTAGCAGTTGTGTGGAAATACAGATTTTTCCACAACTTTGCAAGATTTGTATAACTTGACGTAACTTAACGGAAACAGCATCAAACGTTGGAATTTCCTGTCAAAATTCACTGACGAATCGGACACCACTCTAAAAAAACTAAATTCGACTAGATGATCCAGTGTATGCTCTAATACTATAAAAAAGCGGAGTTTTTTGGATAGTATCAAAGCATTATCAGAAATAGTTCTAAAGAATCCTAATAAAGATGAGCGTAGTGAATCAGAGAGTATTAAAAAATTGCTAAATTTCGAGTTCACGTTGCTTTGCGAATTCATGCAAAGTGTATTGAATGACATCAATTATGCATCCAAAACTTTACAAAAATGCGACATTAATTCGGGTGAGGCAAGTAAAACCTTAGCAGAGACCAAAGCAAAGTTGCAAAATTATAGAAATGATTTCGAATTATTCAAGTGCAAATCCAGTGAAACTGCAAGGAAATATGGTATAGATACCCATTTTCAAGAAAAATTCAAAGGAAAGTTTAAAAACGTTTTGATGAATTAGCTGCTGATCACCGATTTCCAAACAGAGAAGAAATATTTAAATTGATATTTTCAATAATGTACTAGATACAATAATAGCTTAATTAAATACACGTTTTACTGGTATGAGTGCAGTCTGTCAAATATTCGATTTTCTAACACCAACATTTTTATTACATGTTGATGAAGCAACTTTATTACAAAAGTGTGACGATTTCCAAAGAAAATATTCAGATATAATAGGCCCTCGCTTTTCACTTCAATTTATAATATTTACCCCCTAGTTTTACCTTAATTAACTCAAACAAGAGCTGGTCACCAATTATGTAAGGAAATATAGAGCAAATAAGGAGTGCTAGAATGCGACTTAATGGAAGTATTTACAGCCAAGTTATTATTCGTTACAATTCCTGTCACTTCTACAGCAGCTGAAAGGTCATATAACAAATTAAAAATAATTAAAAAAAATATTTAAGAAATAGTATGGGACAAATTCGACGCCGACATTTATCGATAATAGCAATTGAAAATAAAACCACATCAAGCCTGTATTTAACCGAAGTCTCGAAGTTTATGTTGTTACTGTTTAATATTTTTATTCCCTACCCTGCAGTGCTTGAAAAAGAGCTGATGATAAAGTAGCTTAACATTTTAAAGTATTTGTATATTTAATATTTTTACTTGATAAAACCTAACCAGTTTAGATAGCAGTGGGGCCCCAGTTTTTGATTTGCCCCAGGGCCCTTGGTTACCTAGCTACACCACTGCTTCTAATACAATTACTGATTGTTGATGACGAAGAAGATAATTAATTATAAGTAATGAAAAATGTATGTTCCCACCAAGTTCCAAAAAAAAATTTAGCTACTTTCTGAGTCGAGACTTCATGTAGATTTCCTTTAAGTTAATAACCAGCGCTGCGACAGACTTAGTACAGCAGGAATTTCTCAAAAATTAAAATAATAATCCGATTTTAGCACATTATTTATTTTCTTATTAGTTTTTTTTCCATTTGTGACTTTATAATAATCCCGAATTTTGTTCACGGTGGCCAGTTTTGTAAAGAGACTAGCCATCTGTGCAAGTGTCCAAGTGTACGCGCAAGCACAGGTGCACTCTCTATTCCCTCACTCTCATAATCCAATAGGACGATAAACCGACCCGACTGGAGAGAGATCATTCGCAGGACCAACGGCTTTATGTGCTTTCCAAGGCTGCTTTAATCAAATTATAAAGTAGTTTTTTTGTTTCTTCAGGATATGTGGGCTGGAGAATACGTTAATTGGAGCCCTGCCTTCCTGTCCTCTAGCCATGTTGACGGCGCCCGAGCACGTGGAGACTCTGTCGCTCGGACACGTGCTGTTCGAAATGTGCGCCGGCGCAGAGACCAACGTGGCATTGCTCTCTGAACTCGCAACCAATTATCCACACGTAAGTGATTATGATACCTGGCAGCAAAGATAGGGTTATGCTTACAATTCGTTTGGGTATAGCCTTTTCCCTTTTCTCCTATATTGTACTGGCACTAGCAGTTTACATACACGAAAGCTTAGCAGATTAATGCTCCTGTGTTTCGTATGGTGAGTGTAGAGAACCGGAGACCCTTTTATTTAGAAACAAGACATTTTAGATAGAAATAATCATTTTAGTCCTCAGGGGTGACAACGGATCTGCATTTTGATTCTAAATCAAGGATAAATGTGGATGTCTATGGGCCACAGTATTCACTTACCATCAGGTTAGCTGCGTGCTCGTTTGTCATCCTTATTCTATAAAAAAAACATAAATTGCACAAAGACAAATACGAGACACGAATACTTGTTTCGTGTGGAATTCAAAACCGCGGCTCTGAGCGCTGCAACTCGAATCTTAAGCCACTGCGACGCGGAGCCGTCAAGCTTATACCCTCGAAGCATGTCAACGGGTGAATTAATTTTGATCAATAAGGTACAGATTCTTTTAAGCCATGCGATGGTTATAGGCTAGAAGTTTTTTTTAAGCAATATAACGGTAGAGACGAAAATAATTGCGTAACTTCATCATCATCATCATCACACTCCATTACAAGTTGGCTCATCTGTATCACACTTTATCTATTGAGGGGCTTCCATGCACTTCTTACAGGTACGAGGCTACCACTCGAGAAGTTTTCTTCCCGTTTGTTGGTTCTTGAACTATATAGCCGCCCCATTGCCACTTCAGCTTACTGATCCGTTGGTCTATATCGGTTACTCTGGTTCTATTGCGGATATAACCCTATTAAGTGGCATATCAATGAATATAGGTGTCAAAATCAGGATGATTTTTCTTAGTATATTCTACACTCATAAACTTCGTTTATTCTAGTCTAGCCAATTTTTTTTTTTGTAAATCAAAACTCTCACTGAGGAAAATTTAGATACACGAACTGTCACCGAAGTGAGCTCATGAGTGTTCCACTTCCATTGTGCCAAATTTGACAGGAACACTACGTAAATATATAATCATTCTAATTTCAGGTGGTAGACATCATCGAGCAGATCTTCGGACAACGTACGCCGAGCCTGCACGAGTTGCTGTTGTGCGAGCTCTTCCGTAAGATCGACCTTCGCGAGATGAAGGGCTCCTGTCTGCCAGTATAGTGAACATTTAATTTTCTTCATTATAGTCGTTATCAATATCCCATAGTTAAACGTAATCATCAAAATCAGGGTCTCAGCTACTCGTGGTTCATGATACGACACACAGCAGCAATTTTCTGCTATGTAACACTGGAGAACCAACTCACATAGGAAAATAGTTGAAAAAGTGTCCATCTGTAAGCAGCAGCAAATAACAGTTCAAAAACTCTCCACAACAGCGCTGAAGTAGCTATAGGGTATAAAATGAACTTAGCAGTTGTCGACGGATTGAAATGTGCTGAGTTGAGGAATTTAATATTTGTGGTGACTAAAGTAGTGGAAGAAACTGCAGTATTTAAAACCTTAACTACTAATAACTACACGTTGTCCAAAATAATTTCGTGAATATAAGTTAGAAAAAGTCGGTGTAAAACACGTTGAGAGTGATTTAGAAAATAAAAATTTTGAAAACAATAAAAAAAATATTATAAAAAGAATTATGGTGAAAGTCTGTGCAATGTAATAAAAAGTTCTTTAAAATTTACCCTCTAGCTACAGTGGCGCCACCCTTATATAACGCTTTTCTACGGACATTTTAATACACAGTCTGTTCTCCTCATAGGTTTAGTGTTCATACTAGATCTATGATGGTTCTCCTTACCTCTACACCTTGGAGTACAGAGGTAAGGAGGACAATCTCCCATAGGAGAATAGTTGAAGTTGTGTCCATCTGTACATAACAGTACAGTACATAACGGTAAATAACATTTCAAAAACTCTCCACAACAGCGCTTGAGTAGCTAGAGGGTATGAAATGAACTTTGCAGTTGTCGACGGAGTGAAGTGTGTTGAGTTGAGAAATTTAATATTTGTGGTGACTGGAGTGCCTAGTTGATAAGACTGCAGTATTTAAAACCTAAACTACATACTTACTTTGTCTTAAATAATTTAGTAAATATAACCTAGAAATAGTCACCGTAAAACGCGTTGAGAGTGAATTTGAAAATAAAAATTTTGAAATCAATAGAATAATTATTATCAAGAATTAATGTGAAAGTCTGTGCAATAAAAAATTATAAAAAGTTCTTTAAAATTTACACTCTGGCTGTAGTGACGTCACCCTTTTTTATACAGAGTTTGTTCTTCTTATCTCTACACTCCATACCGTGGAGGTTAGGTAACAGGAGAACGATCGCTGCGTACTAAAGCATAGCCCGCCTGTCCCTGAAAATTTGTAGAATTTATAGCCGCGCTACCGTCGGTGAGTACCTAGTATCTGCAAGGTAATTTTTTAATTATTTACAAAAAGAAACAATATAAAATGGTGAAATATTATTAAAAAAATAATAATAAATCAATAATAATTAATAATTTATATTTGTAATAATTTATAATAATTGAAACTATAAAAACATAATTTATAATTTATTTATAAAATATATATATATATATATATATATATATATATATATATATATATATATAATTCCGTTACTTTCTTATTTTTCTTTGAATGATATTATTATCATTTCAAACTAACGCGTAACAGCCCGCTTTTATTAAGGTAACTTAGCGATCGCAGTGCCTCACTTATTTTGTCCATATTTCTGACATTATTTTCTACAGCGATCGTTCTCCTGTTCTCTAGCCTCCATGATTTTGTTTGTTTTTGAATTTGACATTGGCATTTTCATAACCACATTCATAACATTCATAACTGAAACTGAATATTATTAGGCGTGTTGTTTTGCTGGCGTTGAATGTTTTTCGATTTTTTTATATTTTTCCTTTATTTTCTTACGACTTGGCTATTCTTGGACTCCGATTATGATTATCTTTGCTTAATACAGCGACCCACGCACCTAAAAGGACTTCGATTATCTCTACTCCGGACATAGTTCTTAAAGTTTAGTAATGTCCGCGGATAAAATTTGCTGTGTTCCAGGATGTACTAAAAGCTGTGAGTAAATCTAATTTTTTACAAGTTCTACCAGTCAATAGGGTCGGCTGTAGGAATCTACTGAACGATTTAAGTGATCATTTTAGCTTTAGTTGCTATGATGCTATTGATTACCATCTAGCTGCTTTTTATGCCGGAAATCTTTAGTTTCTATCTAATCTTTAGATATATCTATTAATTTAAAAATCATAATGAATAGAACACAACATAGGTCCGTTAGGTTAGGTCATGCAGGATGCAACTTGAGAGGGCCAAGGAGCTCGCTCGCTTGGGACGAAAGTCGTTGTCGCCAAAATCCACGAGTTGGGTTTAGAAATAGCGCCCAACAAGGCCGAGGCTCTATGGTTTCATAAATTTCCACGGAGCAGGAAACCACCCAACTTGTGCGTTCGCATGGGTAGGTCTGAAGTCAGAGTGGGGAGGTACATGAAGTACCTAGGCTTCCACCTGGACAGTCGCTGGGGCTTCGAAGAACATTTCAAATGCCTAATCCCCAGGATTGAAAGGGTGGCGGGTGCTATGCATATGCTACCCAATCTAGGGGGATCTACGGAGGAAGTATGTCACCTCTACGCAGGAGTTATATGATCCATAGCTCTGTATGGGCAAAAAGGCTGGCCATTCGACGCTGTAGAACTAAAATCTACAGTGTGCAGCAGAGGATGGCGATACGGATCATATGAGGATACTGCTGGCAGGGACACGCACTTTATCCTGTGAGTGTCCCTGCCAGCAGTCGTGTCGGCAATGCTGAGCGGGGACTCAGCATGCAGGGCCGTAACCACCTTCTGTGAATCCGTCAGAAGGAGGCTTCTGAGCGAGATCAGGAGAGGAGACGGCCTTTGGGGTTGCAGGCGCTCGGGACGGAGGCCTCGAATGGCTAGTTATGTAACTCCCGAGGAAAACGATGACTCGGAAGTGGTCTCGAGACATTGTGGTAGCACTTCGAGGGTGCTGGGGGTAGCAAGTATTGCCCCTGGGACTTGCTATTAATGTAGCAAAGCATTGGAGGGGCTCCGGTTGTGTTCCGAACGGAGATCCCGGGACCCCTCGTATACACTGGTGGTGACCACCATTAGGTTTTAGCCTGTAGGAATCCGGCATAACCTTCTCGTTGCCCCCACAACGAATATAAACGTGAGGATTTCCTACGTAAAATAAAAAGGTTAGGTTAGGTTAGGACTGTGACCACAACGCACGAGCCGAGCGAGCGCAGCAAGCATGCTATAGCAGCGGCCGGCGAAGTGCCAGAACTGACACTTATTGAGGTTAACACAGGACACAGTAGAAATAACTTCAATTTGGTGACTTTGACCCTTGCTGACCTTGACATATTTGTGCCAGATAGCAGAGGCTTTTCTCACGGTTTTTTCCCACCCTGAAAACCTTCACCGGGACCCGAATGTGACTATTTCGCCGGACCACCTTTTTTTTAAGAAGCGAAAGCGATTTTGCCTTTTTAGAGGGAGGTTACTACACCTGTACTCCCCCTATCCCGCCCACTCGGCGACCATATATTCATGTGGCAGATTAAAAAAGAAAAAAATTCATAAAAGGGATGGTTTCTGGTACTTCCCTCTTTTAGGGGGAGGTTCCTACTCGTCCCCCCCTCTACCCGCTAACTCGGCGACCATATATTCGTGCGGCAGATTACTAAAGAAATATCACACTGCTACTTATGCTACTATCTTTACACTTTATAAAACTCTTCTAAAATATTTTAAAAAATTGTAGGTGAAGATGACTTTGTACTACATAAATTTCCAAATCCTACAAAGGATCAAACACGCTTTTGTACATGGGTACAAGCAGTTGGTGGAAACCTTCTGTGCTTGGATAATATGTATGTGTTTAAGTACCGAAGAATTTGTCATACACATTTTGAATTCAAGTACTGGACCAGGAGTAAAATGTTAAGTAATATTGCAATACCAACATTGCATATGAAAGGTTAGTAAAGATTTGCATTAACATTGTTGTAATGATCTATTCTTAATATTATGAATGTTAAAGTTAATATGGAAGTTTGTTCCTCAAATAATTAATTTTACTATCAAACATGAAGGATTGAATGTATAAATTTTGACTCGTTGTTAAACTATGTCCTGCAATAATAATTTTCAACTTCCATGTTGACAAAATATGAATGACATGCAAAGCAATTTTATGGATAGTTTGTTATTTCTAAGTAACTATTTTTTCAAATGATAATAAAAATCTTATAAATTATGGCATTTTTAAAGCTCTTATGAATATCAAAATCTACACCAGTTCGCAAAAATAAAACTGGGAAGAAACGTGAGTTTATGTTGCAATCACAAATATATAGTGACCTAAAGGTCTTTTCCAATACCAATGAGAACATATATTGCACTAACACACCACATTCTAGAATATGTTTTTCAATTATTTTTTAATCATAAACTCTACACAATATTGTCCTTTAGTATCTATTTGTAGTTATGATGTTTTTCGATTTGCTATCCAATTCTGTTCACTTCACCCAAACTTAGAATATCATATTTAAAGTTTAGGTGCCCAAATTTGTGCAGTATTGGTATTTTATGAACAAAAAATGGAAATATTCATTTGGTTTTATTACTAAACATCACAAAAAGTTACTAAATTTGCCAAAGTCTTTGTAAAATTCGATAGTGCTGTAAAATCCATAATTTACATTATAGTTTGCATATTTATCACAGTTATACTAATAGTAATACTAATAGTAAACTTCTATTTTAATAAAATGGAATGTGTAACTTTTAGTTTCATTTTATTTGTTTTTTTTTGTTATGCTACTTGCGGGTTTTGTTGTTCGATATTGTGCGTTGGAAGATATTAGTGGTCCTTCAGTTTTAATAATATTTTTTAGGAATTCGATACTATTTACAGTGATGAAATGATAGTTGAATTAAATATAAAAAGGGACCCACAAATAATGGCAGCTTTAGAGTACATAATTGGTTACTTATTACGACAGCGTTGCTCAAAAGTTTTTAAAAATTGTAAAACTTGTTTCGCAAATTTGTACTGTCGTAAAGAAAATAATTATATAAAATTAAGAGAATACAATATGAAAAAAACTACCTAACATAGCCCCCTTTAATTTAGTTAGTTGTTTTTCCAGCATACAAGATGTATTTCATTATATAATCGAAAAAAAAGGCCAGATATAAATAATATAAGAAACTTTATAAAAATAATTTTAGAAATCAGATTAGATTTTAAATTTTTGGCATGTGAAACCCATAAAAAAGAAATGCCATTAAAAACATAACTTGTAAAAAAATCCAAGTCTCGCAACTCAGTTTTTCTACCGTAAAAAGTTGTGAGATCCATGCAATACCAAGTCGGTTAATTTATTCAGTCCCTACTTCTTCTGTTTTAAATTATTACATAATTAGCTAACCTAACAACATTTTATAGTGACCATATCAATGTTAAAAATCTTTTATGTTTTAAATATATATTATATAGTATTTAGAAAATGGACTGAAATTAAAAATATTTTAGTTTTTCCTTGATTTATACACTAAACACTAATTGTATTCTAAATTTGAAGCTTCTATCTGTGCTAGAAGTGCCTTAGAGTTTTGATGATTGGTCAGTCAGTGAGTGACAAAATTAAGAAACTTTGACTAGTTATAATTCTTAAACTACTGGTTCAAATTGAATGAAATTTGAAATATACCATGTTTATACAAAGTTGGTTAATTTATTCAGTCCCTACTTAAGGGTCCTTCTGTTTTAAGTTATTACATAATTAGCTAACTTAACAACATTTTATAGTGACCATATCAATATTAAAAATCTTATATGTTTTAAATATATAGATTGACTTGGCAATAGCACTAAGCAATCTAATTTAATATAATATGTATTACTTGTGAGAAACATTGTGTTTTCTTGCTTTAATATTACTTCAGAAAACTCGACCTTAAATAAATTAAATTAAATTTAAATAAATTGTTATTTTAAATTTGTATGTGGTTTTATGACCTACCTCTAACACGCGCATAGGTAAAGCAGGGTCTTTGACAAAACTTAGACCGCCAAAGCAGAAGTAATAAAACCACATACAATTTGCAAATAAAATTTTATTTAAATGAAATATTTTAAATACTGATTCTGATAACGCATTTAACGGAAACTACAGGGATTTTGTTACATGTTTTCTTTTTTATAGAAGAGGGGGCAAACGAGAAAGCGGCTCACTTGATGATAAGTGTCGATCATGAACAACTGTAACACGAGGGAAAACGAAGTTGCGTTGCGGGCCTTTTAAAAAAGAGAAGGCTCTTTTCTTGAAGGTTCCTAAGTCGGATTGGTCCGGCAAAATGGTTGTTGTTTATATTTAAAACTTGAGATTAAAATACCCTGATTTGGATCTGATATGTTCTGAATTGGTATTTTTCTATTTAAACATATTTTGCGCATCCACATTCTGCTATCCCTTAGCTTAAATTTAGGTTTTCTGTAAATTTTCTTAAGTTTATGTTATTAGAAGAATACTGACCAAGAAATAATATCAAAGAATAATTTTGTTTCAGGGAGTCAGTGCAGCGAAAAATTGAAAAATCTTCGTTCAGTTTTAGTGCAGCACGTGAAATCGCATGCAAGTGAATCATCCGCGAAGACAAGAAAACCGTTTTATTTAGCAGACACCATGCAGTTCGCGATTCCTAATATAAAAGCTTCAAAGACGTTTACTGGAAAGTCGCCTAATAAGAAAAGAGATTTAACAGCTGATAAAGATAATGAAGAAGATGAAGATGGCGTTAAGTCTGTACCCTCATTCTCTCACATGCCATACTCTGTTCTAAGTGTTTCTTCTCTGCACTCGCCGTCTTCTCCCATGTCAAGTCCTCCTTCAACCCCACCTCCTCGAAGCGGTCATCCTGATGTTAAAAAACTAAAACGTCGAATTAACATCGAAGTCAACAATGAGGATTATCTGAATACTAGAAAGGCTAAAATCGAAAAGACAACTAATGATTCAATGGAAGATCCTAAAAGAATGTTTTTACTCAGCTTGCTACCGGATGTTAACGCCATGTCAGATAATCAAATGAGAATGTTCAAGCGCAGAGTGATTAGTTTAGTAGAGGAAATTCTAGAAGAAAAATCTCACTCCCCTACGTGAATGCAACTATCAAGCAGTATACATTAGAGTACATTCTGGTTGAGAGAAGTAGCACGCTGGCCATTAATTTAAAAAAGTATTTACCTCATCTAGTAAGTTACGAACCTGTGCGATTAGTGTCAAGGGTGAATATTGGCATACTATTGTAGTTAAATGCAAGAAAGGGTGTAAAAAAGGTTTTGTCAATCAATCTGGTGATGCAGTTCAATCAAGGAATATTTTTAACAATTATATATTGCCGTGAGAGTGATATCACGAGCCTTGACAGCTCAAGCTAAGCTCTTGTTGTAAATTTGACAGTATGTGAGCCAAAGATATTGTCAGTCGCAGCTATATGTGCTGATTTACGGCGTGTACAGCGTAAACTTCGTGAAGAATTCATGTCTGAGAAATTAAAAAAATATTTCGAGTACATGTGTAATCTGCCAAGTTGGATTACGGCCGCGTGATGGACACCTCCTTGCCCTAAAGCCCTCTCAGAATTGAGGGTAGGTCTGTGCCCAGGAGTGACACGTACATAGGCTGAAACTTTACTTAACTTTTTATGCATAACCTGGTGCCTACAACCAAAGGTTGGTTATTTTTCCATTCAAGGGCTAACTGTAAGGAAGCCTGCATTGTTCACACTGTACTGCAGGGAATGTACGAGGGTGGATTGAAAAGTACTCAGCCTAACACAGATCCATTCAATTCTAAAAATCAAATCTACCCACATTATTTAGTTCAGTTCAGACTAGTTCATTGTTTGAAGTTCGAAACTTGTGCGATAATTAGTTGTGATTTTATAAATTTATTAACAAAGTAATCGGACATAATTTCCGCGAATGGAGCAAATCAAGCAGCGTGCCGTCATTAAGTACCTCCATAAGAAGGGGCTATCATCAAAAGCCATCCATGATGACATGGTCAGTACATTAGGCGATTGTGCTCTGTCATATTCATCCGTCAAAAAATGGATAGCAGAATTTAAGCGTGGTAGAGAGAGTGTGAAAGATGAACCCCGCTCTGGAAAGCCTTCGACGTCAACTACTGACGAAAATATTAAAAAAGTACTTGATTTAATAATGGGAGACCGCAGATTAAAAATTAGAGAGATAGCCGAGATTATAGGCATCTCTTATGAACGAACTCAAAACATCATTGTCAACGAGTTGGGTTTCCACAAGGTGTCTGCGAGGTGGGTTCCGCGACTGCTTTCAGTTGAACAAAAAAGGACGCGATTGACTATTTCACGCGACTGTTTGGAGTTATTTGAAGCCGATGCAGATGATTTTTTGAATCGTTTTGTTACTATGGACGAAACATGGGTTCATTACTGTACACCGGAAACAAAACAATAATCAAAACAGTGGAGAAGACCTGGTTCACCACCCCCTAAAAAGGCTAAGTCGATTTTGTCGGCAAATAAGGTGATGGCTTCAGTAGATCTTGAAAGGGGTCAGACTATAAACTCTGATTACTACTGCACCTTACTAGGTCGTTTACGAGAGGAAATAAAAGAAAAACGTCGAGGAATGCTCAGAAGAAAAGTCCTGTTTCATCAAGATAACGCCCGTGTTCACACGTCAGTACAGTCAATGGCTGAAATTCACAACTGTGGCTTTGAACTGTTACCGCATCCGCCGTATTCATCTGATCTGGCACCATCAGACTTCTTTCTGTTCCCTAACCTAAAAAAGCACTTGGGAGGTCAAAGATTTTCGACAAACGACGAGGTCAAAGCAGCTGTAGACGCATATTTTGACTCTAAGGAAGAATCATTTTTTTCAACGGTCTAAATGCTTGGAAGGGGAGGTGGCAAAAGTGTATTGAACTTGATGGTGATTATGTAGAAAAATAAAAATATAACTGATTTAGTATGTGTTTATTTTCTTGGTTAGGCCGAGTACTTTTCAATCCACCCTCATATATGATCAATTTAGATTTTTTATTATCGTACATATTGTGTGTATATATATATATATAATGTAAATATTACTAACTAAACATATCAGTTTATCAACATTTGCATTAAAGTACTTATTTTATAAAAAATTTATAAAAGTAACAGAATTTTCTTATACCTACCCACGTGAAAATTTTATCTTACGTACATATGTCCCGCATTAAAATATTTTGCAAATTATTAGCGTATGAACTAATTATACAAGTATACTATTTTATATAGGTAGTAAAAAATTACGTATTGTTTAACTACAGAAGAGACCGTCTGTAGACTTAGATCTTTTAAACTGCGCAACAGATTTTGGTTTCGTCGTGTCTCAAGATTTCGTCGTGATTCAAGACGAAAGTACACACGCACATTATAGTAATACATACATATAATGCTCAAAGCTGTCCGTTAGACTCGCTTAAAATTTAAATGTCTCAATTTATATTGATGAAATTTTTAGTGGGTCTCTGGATGGTTTAGATTCACAATTGGACCAGGTGGAGCTGTCAAGCGCATAGTCTACCTGATAGTAAGTGGAAGTTGCAGCCCATAAATACCTACATCTACCCTCGACTACAAATCAAAATGCAGATGCGTTGTCATCCCAGAGGTCTAAGATTGAATGCCTCATTTGCAGTAAAAAAGGTCTCCGGCTCTCTACACTCACCATACATTACACAGCAGCACTTTGCTGCTATGTTACGCTGGTACTCTGTGAGAGCGTGATCCTTGCTCGATCGAGCCAATCCAATCGTGCTAAAATCATAATAACACTAGAGAAAAAAATTTTTTACGATCCCATTTATATCTATATACTTAAGTTACTATTATATACTTAAGTTACTTGTTTATAATTACTTTTTCAAGGATAGGAACCTCTTAAAATTATACTGTCATAGTTATACTGCTGTTCTGTTATGACTTATGAGACATCTACGGCCATACTCATTATCCTTAATTATAGCTTACTTATGTTTTAATTATCTCTATACTTGTCTCTTTCTGTTGTCATTAAGAGAAAATCGCGAAATGAAATCGCGGAGAGAGCAACTTTAATCACATCAATTAATATGAGTAAGACCGGCTGTAAACTTTAACGAATATAAAACATAAAAGAAAAACATACAGACATAGAAATATCATGTTTGATAGGCCTTAACCATCTTAATATCAGCTTATCAACTTTGACGCTGTTTCCTCTGGCCCGACCAGATATTTTACGTCTGGCGAGATGGCTATAGTGCCATCTATCGGAAGCCATATGATTTTTCAAACAGTTCTCAAACTATTTGCCTCTAACGAAACACAACAGCCGAAAAGGTATGATGGATTCTTTTACGCCACTACCATATGGTATTTATTTAAATAGCGTCACCCCTTTAACACTAGGGAGATAGGCAGAGCCCAAAGAACAGCGAGCTATTCGGACCATGTTTAGCCAACAAATATAAGCTTACATGAAAAGAGTTATGAAAGAAGTAAGATTATTTACGTGAGGCGATTTTGGCGATTCTTTACCCCTTTACCCCTGGTAAGATGTCGTGAGATTTAGATCGACCCCCATTATCTCACGTAAGATTTCTCAAATCACTTATTTTAGTATAAATTCGTTAATATGTGCATGATTGCGTTGAATTTATTTAAAAAGAAAAACCTTTATTTGCGATCATTTAAGTATTTAAGACTACTAAGAACGTAGTCTGGAATCACAGTGAGAAAATCGAACAATAAAATTGGTACTTAAATAGGAACTACTAAAATTTTTCTACAAAAATAATGTGACATTTGCCGAGACTCCCTCTTCCCCACGTAAGATTGGATGACATTGGTTTAGACCCCAGCCCCCCTAAAAAAGCCTCACGTAATTGTAGTCTGTTCGCTTAGATAGGGTTGTCTTTGTGTCGCGCCGCCTTGGCACGTGCTGCATCTTGTCAAAGGCGCAGTACACCGGCAAGAGAATTTGGCATTTTAAAACTTAGCTAACTTTTGTTTATTATTTATATTCATATTTTATTACTATAACCATAATAATAAAACAAAATTGTATTTTATTTATAGAATAAAATAGTATTCTATTAAAATATATTAATAAAATAATATTCTACTAAATAGAATACTATTTTTATAGAGCCGTGGTAGCTCAGATGGTTAACGCTCGCTGTAAATATAACAGAACGCGAGTAACCCGGGTTCGATCCCCGCCGGCCACCAATGAAATTGTTAATTGCAATTATATGATATTAAGTGCTTATTTACCACGTGTTCGGCGGTGAAGGAAAATATCCTGAGGAAACCTGCATGTCTGAGGAATAAGAAAAAAAATATTTCGAAGACATGTGAAGTTCGCCAACACGCAATGGGGCAGCGCGGCGGACACTTCCTTGCCCTAAACCCTCTCAGAAATGAGGGAAGGCCTGTGCCCAGCAGTGAGACGTATATAGGCTGTAACTTTATTTTATTTATAGAATAGATAGAAAAAATAGAATACTATTTTATTCTTATAGTTATTATAATAAATGACAAATATAAATAATAAAGAAAAGTTAGCTAAGTTTTGAAATGCCAAATTCTCCTGCCGGTGTTTTTTACACATTTATTTAACAAACAATAAAAACGAATAAAATAAATGGAAAATAATAAGTGCACCTCCGGGTGTACCGACACTATCTTAGTGAACAGACTAAGCATAAGCACAAGCGCAATATACCATTTTGCCTTTTGCGACGTATTAAGCCAGTAACGCAGTTGACACATTATTTTTTTATAATTTACAGCACGTTTAACCACATAAACATGGGACAGCGTAAATAAAAAAGGCGTATTGAATATTTATATTATTTTGCCTTGTGACAGAATTTTAACCAGCGTCTGTCACGGTCGTGCCTTTCTCTGCTGAGCGAGGTAGCGCGGCGACAGACGTTGTGCGCTCGCTCTGGACCTCCATCCCCGATGACTCCACCCGCACGTAGGTGACTATCAATATTATCATTTATCTCTGTTATTTAATAAATAGCACTATAGATTCACGACCTTATCAGGCGGGACAAGGTACATATATGGTTTTTGGGCTTAGATGTCTCTCCTCTGCTCCTATTACTTTATATGGGATATGGTGAGGAAGGACAAGTGTACTGTTGTTTGCACGTTACGTTATATTCAAGTCAATCAATTTTGGGAGAAAGAAAAAATCAAGAAAATACAATACACCGTGGAGAGCATATTCCAGAGGAGAAAATGTCTCTATCATGACTTACGTATTTAGGATTTAATACAAAATGAAAAAATAATATTATTCATCAACACTTTTTTACAGGAGACATTATCAGGTGGACCAAGACGTTACCGAAGTGTGGGAGTGGTGACTAAATAATAAGATTCAAGATTTTATACATAGGATAAAAATCAACATAAACAAATTAAAAATTATATTTGTAGGAATAAAAGAGTTCAATCATTTTATTTATTTATTTAGATAGATACACCATCGACAATATCAATAAACATTGTTACAATCAAAATACTACATTTTTAGATAAAGGATATGTCTACATCAGGTGTATACATCATTTCATTAGGGTTCCGTAGTCAACTAGGAACCCTTATAGTTTCGCCATGTCTGTGTCCGTCTGTCCGTCCTCGCTTAATCTCTGTGACCGTTAGCACTAGAAAGCTGAATTTTGGTACCAATATGTGTATCAATCACGCCGACAAAGTGGTAAAATAAAAATTGGAAAAAAATGTTTTATTAGGGTAGCCCCCCTATATGTAAAGTGGGAAGTGATTTTTTTTTAATTTCAACCCTAACGTGTGATATATTGTTGGAAAGGTATTTAAAAAGGAATAGGAGTTCACTCAAATCATTTTTTGATAATGTCAATAATTTCGGAAATAATCGCTCCACAAGTAAAAAACAATGTGTCTCCCCCCTCTAACTTTTGAACCATAAGTTTAGAAAATATGAAAAAAAATCTGAAAGTAGAACTTTATAAGGACTTTCTAGGAAAATAATTTTGAACTTGGATGGAAACAACAGTACCCACTACTGGGAGCAGTTGCAGGAGCGCGGAGCGCTGCTGGAGCGCGAACATAATTGATACCCACCTTTAAACTCATAAGTGGGAACACTTATTGTGACGGACGGGAAACTACGGAACCCTACACTGAGCGTGGCCCGACACGCTCTTGGCCGGTTTTTTTTAGTATTATGATCGGTCGGATTATAATTTATTTTGAAAGGATAAGTTTTTTCTATGAAGATTTATTATCAGCTTTATATAATAATACCTTTGTACTTGAATTATATCACGAAATGGAATTATTTTGTCATAAATACTTTATATTAAATTATTGTTAGTGTATATCCTTTTTATGTGATTTGTATCTAATATTCTATTATATAATATTCTATAAAATTTACAATTTTTAAAGTAATTAATAAAAGAAAATGGAGAAAACCAAACAATGTTATTCCAAACAATGCCTTCCGAACCTTTTCCTATAAAACTGTTTAACAAATATTCTTCATTTCTTTCTTTGTGAAAACACTGGCGGCGAAAGGTTTTGAAACTTTGATAACATCTGCGTTAACCCAAACATTTTACTTTAGACTATAATATATAAATAACACAGTAAAATAAATGGTAATTGGGTCCCGTAGCCAGTGGACACCAAAACTATCCTCGCTTAAGAATTAAAACGCAGATGAGTATGACCTCTGAGCAATAACATGAAATGTTCGTACCAGTAAAAGTCTTCTCATACCATGTAATCAGTCATCTAACCATAAGAATTATAACTTATAGAAATATATTGACAAACCAAATTACGGAATCACCTGATGCATATAACTACTAGAGTGCGCGCAAGATAACTGCGCGCGGCCAAAATTGGAACTAATCGTGTGCCGCCAACTTACTGTTTATGGCAAGTGTCTAAACAGAGTGGTAGGTGTCCTGTTTTTATTCTTTTTTTGCAGTAATTAATCGTTATCATTATGCCGAAAGTGATTAAAAGTGCTGGCAGGGATGTTATTTTGAAGGTCAAACGTGCTTGTGAAGAAGAACGAGACAATAACGGGCCTATAGTACTGTTTTCCAAAGTTAGAGCCCGCGTTGCATATTTAACAGGTAATTTTTAGGGATGCCATTACAATAAAATTCCCCAATTTTCTCTATTTGTTCCTTTTTAATTTCCTCGTGTCATTAATATCATGTATTTATAATGCATTGTTTTTATTTTGTTTTAGGTGTTTCTGAACGCACCGTCACCCAGATAAGTCAAGAGGGTAATATAGCAGAAGCTTCATCTTCTAAAATTGTGACGCCGGGAAAAACTAGGAACCGAAGGAAAAAAATTCATGATTTAGACGATTTCGATATGTGTGCTATAAGGCATTTAATTCAATCATTTTACGTCGTGAAGAAAGAGATTACTACCATAAATAAACTTTGGTTGGACATTGGTTTTAAATATAGCAGAATATTGTTGAGGAGTATTTGAAAGACTATGGGCTACAAATACAAAAAGTGCCAGTCTAAATGAAAAGTATTGGTAGAACGCAGTGATATTGCAGCTCGGAGAGCAAAATATATTCTGAGGTTGCGCAAGAATCGTCAGGAAGAAAATCGACCGGTAATTTATGTTGACGAAACGTATATACATGCTACATACCACCTTCAAAAATGTTGGCAATCGAAGGAACAGCCTGGTATTCTTGCTTCTGATAGCGTCGGTGCAAGATGGATAATAGCCCATGGTGGAGGTAAAACTGGGTTTGTTGAAAACGGACTGCTGCTATTCAGGTCTAACTCCAAATCGAATGACTATCATGACAATATGAATTCAGCTAACTTCATGCGGTGGATGAAAGAAAAAATTGTGCCGAATCTTCCAACGAATTGCATTGTAGTGATGGATAATGCATCATACCACTGCACACAGATCAACAAGGCGCCTACAATTAGCAATACAAAAGCAGAGCTCCAATGATAGTTTACGAGAAATGGTATTAAATTTGAAGACTGTTGGACAAAAGCACAATTATACGAATTAATTAAAGAATACAAAGGGGCCCCACAGTACGAAATAGATCAAATGCTAAATGAATATGGACATGAGGTTCTCCGTTTGCCGCCTTACCACTGCGATTTAAATCCCATAGAAAAAATTTGGGCAATAGTAAAGAGACGCATTGCAGAGAAAAATATCACTCAAGCTCCTAGCGAAATAGCTGCTATTACTGAGGCGGCGTTTAGAACAGTAACGACAGAAGAATGGTTCAACGTATGCCAACATGTAGAAAAAATAGAAGATAAATATTTCCAATCAGATAGGCTGATGGATATGGAAATGGATGAATTTGTAATTAATGTTACAGGTGACACATCCGAGTCATCTGATGAAGACTCTAGCATGGATTCTGATGAAGATATGCGAATGGAAGGCGTTGATCCACTGCAGGACCATTGTTACACCAAATTTATAAATAATAATAGGTATTCAATAAAAGATTTACAAGGTTTCCTTGGACTTTTTATTTCGTTCTTTATAATAAATATTATAATGCTATTTCAGTTGTTTCAAAATACCTTTTTTGGAAAAATTTATTATAGACAAAATATCAGTAGTCATTAATCTTAGTATTAGTCCTTTTTATACACGCATATAATAGGTACCTGTAATTGTGTAAAAAAAATTGTAGTGGCGTAGTTAAACTTGTGTAGTGAGGTATCAAACTTATGAAAGTTAGAATCAAGAAATATATTTATTACGCGGATCTTAAACAATAAATATGGGGTTTAAAAAATTATTAGGTCTTTGTAAGTTTAGGCTGAACATTACAGTTTTTTTAATTGAGATTTGGTAATCAATTAGGTACTTTACGTAATTTGATATAATTATACAATTCCAGTAATAAGATTAAACGAAGGAAAAAATATTAGTTAAGCTGGCAACATTAAGCACGCCATCAGTCGCGCGCAGAGTTATCTTGCGCGCACTATACTGCAATCCACAAACGCCTGTAGCTAACTTCAAGTAAAGAACATAGATAAATAAATATGTATGGTGCCACCAACTTATCTATTCAGGTGGACAAAATTAGAACTAAAGCCGCCTTTTTATAAAGGACATTTCGCTGTCAGCTATTATTTATTCTGAGCTATCAGGTGTGTGTTTTTAAAAAGTGCAAATAAAATGCCTAAAGCTCTTAAAAGTGATGCGCGACAGATTATCCTAAAAGTTTTATCTTTTATGAAAGAAGAGAAACGTGTACAAGCCCCAATTATACCATTTGAAAAGCTGTATGAACGCGTTACTGCCGCGACAGGTTAGTATTGCCAGATATGGAAAATTAAAATCACCTAATAATGTACTTGTGAAACATAGTAAAAAAAAAATTCTCAATTTACTGTAATTCGTCTAAATTACCTAGCTTTGTAATTTGTGGTCTGTGAAGTAGCTATAGTGACGGCATATACACGGGCTTATATTTATTTAATTTTACCTATACAATAATTATTTGTCGTTTCGTTACAGGTGTTTCTGAGCGATTTGTACACAAACTCGTAAATGAAGAGAAACACGCTGAAGAATCAAATTCTAAAATTTCTACCCCTGGCAAAAAAAGGCAAAGAAAAACCGGGAAACAAGAAGTTGATAATTTCGACATTGGTGTTATAAGAAGAAAAATTCACGAATTTTATTCAGTGAAAAAAGAAATTCCTACCATACCCAAATTACTGAGTATTTTAAAAGAAGATATTGATTTCAAAGCAGAACGTGAAACTCTTCGAAAATTGCTTCACAAAATAGGATTTCGTTATAAGAAAACAAAATCAAATAGAAAAGTGTTGTATGAACGTAACGACGTAGTTGCATGGAGAGCAACCTACCTACAAAAAATTAAAGAAAATGAGTGTGGTGAAAAAAGACCTATTATTTATTTAGACGAAACTTACATACATTCGTCTCACTCAACTGGGAAATGTTGGCAAGGTCCTGAAGAGGATGGCGATTTGGAACCTGTTTCGAAAGGTAATAGGTGGATCATAATCCATGCTGGTGGAGAAAAAGGTTTTGTGGAAAATGCACTTCTTGTATTTAAATCAAATACAAAGTATGGGGACTACCATGATGAAATGAATAGCACTAAGTTCAAAAAATGGGTATATGAAAAATTACTACCTAATCTGCATGAACCTTCCCTCATTGTAATGGATAATGCGCCATACCATAGTATTTGCGTAAATAGGTGTCCTAATTCAAACCACAGTAAGGCTGATATGCAGAAGTGGCTGGTAGAAAACAATGTGGATTTCAATGAACAAATGACAAAACCACAGCTTTATGAGTTAATAAAGAAAAAT